ATCCACGTGGCTGTGAAATCCCTCCAGGGCCGGGCACTCCACCACCTCCCTGGGCAGCTCTGCCAGGGCTGCACAGCCCAGTCTGGGAAGGAATTTCCCCAATATCCCCCCTGAGCCTCCCCTGGCCCAGCCTGAGGCCGTTCCCTCTCCTCCTGTCCCTGTTCCCTGGCAGCAGAGCCCGACCCCCCCGGCTGTCCCCTCCTGCCAGGGACTTGTGCAGAGCCACAAGGGCCCCCTGAGCCTCCTTTGCTCCAGGCTGAGCCCCTTTCCCAGCTCCCTCAGCCCCTCCTGGGGCTCCAGACCCTTCCCAGCTCCCTCAGGAATTCTCCAGCCCTTTCCCAGCTCCCTCAGCCCCTCCTGGGGCTCCAGCCCCTTCCCAGCTCCGTTCCCTGCCCTGGACACGCTCCAGCAGATTCACTCTGGATATGCAAGGAGACAAAAGCCTGAAAAGGCTATGTCTCGGTTCTAGAAGCCAGGTGTCTGCTAGGGAGAGCAGGAGCCTCCCTTGGGATGAAAGAATGCAGACCCCCTCCCTCCGAATTATTTTAATTCTGAAATCAAGGGGGCTTTCAGGCAGAGATCTGGGGATAGGAATAACAGTTCTTTACTAGTATAACCAGGCAGACAAACAACAATAACTACAGCATTAGCAAGAAAACAGAACCAGGGGCCCCGGGACAGCTCTCTCAGCTGAGATGGGATGGAGGAGAGGTTTTGTTTTTCACAAACCCCTCGGGCAGTCAGTCCCGGTGCTCCTGCAGGGCTCCGAGGAACAGTCGGCTGGAAACAGCAGGGATGAGCTGAGATCCTGGGCCGGTGGCTGAGGTGTATCAGCAGCGATGAGCTGAGATCCTGGGCCGGTGGCTGAGGTGGAACAGCAGGGATGAGCTGAGATCCTGGGCCAGTGGCTGAGGTGGATCAGCAGCTCCACAGTGGTGCCTGGCACTGCCACACGTCCCGGCAGGACAGGGGGTGCGAGGCCACCAGCCAAGAGGGGAGAAGGAGAAGAAGCAGCAGCTCCGTCTGGGTGATGACGAAATTCCCTTCTCTCCACCACAACAGCTCTGCACCCAAAGTCTCTCCCCGAAGCTGAAGAAGCCGCCAAACTGTCCCCAGCCTCCTTTCCTGCCCTCTTCCCCACCCTGGGCCCGGCCAAACTCTTTGTCTTTTGTCAATCACCCACCAAGTACCCACAGTTAGGTTGTCCTCGCAACTAATGGGTAAAAATTCCACGGGCAAGCCAGAACTAAACAAACAAACAAACAAACAAACAAACAAAACAAAACAAAACAAAAGGACACCTAACCCCCAACTAACCCCCAACAGGCTGAAACAACAGCGCCAGGTCCCAGCCTTGTTCTGTCAGTCCCTCCCGTCCTGAGCTGTCCTGGGACAGCTGGGACAGCCCCAGCCGGTGTTTTACCTGGCCCAGGGGTGCCCTGCAGGCTGGGGAGGGCTTTGTGCTCCTGTGCCCGGGGGTGTCGGTGGTTCATCCCCGGGCTGTTTCCTACAAGTGCCCGGGCTGGCTGCACTGCCTGTGCAAGCCCTGAAGACCTTCCCGGTGCCCCTGAAGGAGCCTGAAGGGCTCATTATCCCGCACCAGTCACTCACTGCACATTTCATCTCCCGGCCCTGGGCCACAAAGGGGCTCCCGGGGCTGTGCCCGGGCTGGCAGGACCTGGCCACCAGCTGTGAGCTCTGCCCTGTTCTTGCCACACACTGCAAGTGCTTCAGGACCAAGAGCTGTTTTAACTTTTTGGGAACCACAGTGGAGAGGAAATTGGGAGCTCTGAGCTGGAGATCAGCAGAGATTACTGCTAAAACCCTCTTAGGTGATTTTTTTCCCCATTTCTGGTTTTATTGGACCACTAGAATTGGACCTCCTAGAAACCTGCAGAGACCCTCAGCAGGCTGTGCAGTGAGGGCAGGGAAATTGCAGTCAGCAGCCTCCTGACTGCCATGACCCTTCAGGGAGCTGTTAGGGACCTCTGGGACCAGCAGGAATCTCTAATCCATGAGATCAAACCAGTCACCCAAAACCTCCTCCCGAAGGCTGAGTTACCATCTCGTTTCAGGCAAGGAGGTGGTGCTCTTTATCATCTGTCTGTGAAGTGGGATTTCATTAAATTAACATTCCACAGAATCATAGAATCATGCTGGTTCTCCCTCCCATGGGCAGGGACACCTTCCACTAGACGAGGCTGCCCCAAGCTCCATCCAGCCTGACCTGGAACACTTCCAGGGACGGGACACCCTGAGCTCCCGGTCACTCCTCATCCCTGCCAGGTGAGCTCCATGCCCCAGCCCCTCGCTGACACTGGGAGGGATTCTCTCCTCTCCCCATCCACCCTTCCCAAGGAGCCTCTGTCCTGCCCCTTGCCAAGACAGTGAAGAGGGAAAGGGGAGAGCTAAAATCAGGGAGCTCCACTGCTCTGAAGCATCGCGGCCAGCGCAGATGAAGCACAGTTAACAAAGAGCCATTGTCTGTGAGCAGCGATAAAGCTGAGTGGAAATGGGGTTCTTGAAGCTGGCACACTCAGAGCTTTGTCCGTGGTGAAAGCAGAGCTGGTCCCTGTCCGTGCACAAAGCAATCACACGCTGGGGAGCGCTCCCCTCTCAAACACACGCCAAGAGCCCGGCTGGGCACAAACCCCAGGCTCCATCTCCAACCCAGGCGCAGGCTCAGCTCTTCCTTCGGGTACAGAAACATTCACTGAAGGCACAGAAGTGTTTCTCGGCGACTTCCAGTTATTTTCCAAAGATTTTTGAGATTCCATTTACTTCTTGCATGTGCTATGTGGAAATTATAGAATAATGGAATTGTGGAATGGTTGAGGTGGGGAGGGACCTTAAAGCTCATCCCATTCTAACTCTGTGCCACAGGCAGGCAAAGATCCTTGTAATCCAAACACACAAAATGGTGAACTGAGCTAAAAAAACAATGGGTGTCTCCACATTTGGGGAAAAAAAAAAAAAAAAAAAAAGAAGGAGCTGTGGTTTCCCACCCTGTGTGAGTTATTAAGCTGACATTTTAACCACCTGGAAATATAAATCTCCCTGCTTGGCTGGCTAATGCCCCATTAGGCACGGGCCCCTGGCCAGGAATGGTCCAGCTGGTGATTCATTGACTTGGGGACGTTTCCCTGGGCAGTTTGCTCCTGAGCTGGCCACCACACCCACCAGAGCAGAGCAGAGCAGCGAGTTCAGAACTGCCTCCTCCATCGTGTAGGACCATTCTGGGAAACCCCAAGGAACAGACCCAGAGTCATGGAATCACAGAACAGTTTGGGCTGGAAGGGACCTTAAAGCTCATCCCATTCCAGCCCTTGGCACGGGCAGGGGCACCTTCCCCTGTCCCAGGTCGCTCCAAGTTCTGTATATTGACAGGTCCAGGTGGCAGCTCAATTGTTCTTAGAGCTGCCCACAGCAACATGCTCTCCTGACACATTTTCCTTCTCACAGCTCCTCTCCTATCAAAAATCACATGGCTGCTCTGTGCAAACACTCTTTTATTTTTTTCCTTTTTGCTAAGAAAGCCAACGCAAACACGAACGTTCTGAGGACATTGAAAAAACCCAGCGACACGAGCAGCTTTTGTACCCAGCTCCGTTATCTCTGCTGGTAGACAAACAGCCTTTAATGAACAGACTTTCATTTCCCCTGTGCCAGTCACAGGGTGCCACCTTTGATCAGATCAGAGGAAAATAAAACAAAGAAGAAACGTGCTGCAAAAGTGAAAAACTTTTTGGGGGGGGTTTTGATCTGAAATCATGACTCTGTCTCTTCCCCTTTTCTTCTGAAGTCGTGGCAGCATTACTGGTATGGCTGGAGCAGTTTGCTGGTTGGGTTGCTGCGTTGATCTCAGCTCCTGTGCCATTCAGGTCTGAACACACCTGGTGTGTCCATGGCTCCTGCCCTCCACCAGGAACGTCGGGTTCCATCAGCCCCAACCAGAATGGTCCCACAGCTCCCGCCCTGATGCAGGGCACAACATTTCACAGAGTCCAGATCGTGGCAGAGCCATTCCCCAGCATGTCCAGGGCCACCACCCTCTGCAGATGAGACACCTCTGAGGCCCAGGTGTGCAGCAGTGGTTTCCCCACCATGGGCAGGTCTGAAAGCTTTGCAGCCCAGTCAGGCTGTGGGACTGGCAAGTGCTGGCTGCGCTCACAGTCAGGGCAAAAGGACATTCTGCAGAAATGGCTGATCTGCTCCATCCCATGAGTAACATCAGGAACACACCAGGCCCTTCGTGGGGCCTCACGGGTGACACAGGGTCAGACCATCCCACTCCTGGCATTGCCAGGAGACCTGGACTGTGGAGCCTCCAGAAAGGGCTCCCTGATCACCACAACCAAAGCTCTCTGGATGCTGCCTGGATGAGGCACAGCTGGACTGGCCAAGACAGAAAGCAGCCCTGTGGGATGTAGGACCACTGTCCCCTTAAACACCACTCTAAAGGCTTGAATTGCGTTTGGGAGTCATGGTTTAAGGGAAATATTTCCCTCTTACAGAGGACAATGAAGCCTTTCCCAGGTTCTCAGAGCACTTCAGCAGTAGGAAGTGGCAGGGTCCCTCAGCACTGGGGACAGGAGGGCGTAGCCCCTCTGTGCCATGGTGAGCAGTGTGATGCCCATCCAGCCACGCTTGGTGTGCCACGCTTCAGTCTGGCAGTCAACAAGGTGTTCATGGTCTGGACACTGTTAGGAAGGTGCAGGAACAGGCAGAAATCAAGCTGTAGGACAGCAAACATAACCAGCTGCAGCAGGTGACAGTGAGTCAGCAGGCACTGATGCTTCTCAGCTGAACCTACCCAGTCTCTGCCAGTGAAGGAAATTCAGGGGAAGCAGCTCCAGGAGAAGACAGCAGCAGTGAAGATGTCGATGACCCACACGCACCTTCAGCTTCCCTTGAACCCCTCGGGCAAAGCGGTTCCTCCAGGCTGAGAAGTGCTGCAGCCTTTGGTGCTGCTTTCCAGACCCCGTCCCGCTTCCCCCTGCTCAGCAGCCGCCCCCCCAGCCGGGGCAGGGACGCTCCCCCGGGGGGCACAGGAGGCGCACGACGCGCTCCCGGATCTGCCTGGTCCTCACCCCGTAGACGATGGGGTTGAGCATGGGTGGCACCACGACGTAGAGGTTGGCCAGCAGGATGTGGACGTGACTCGGGATTTGGTGGCCGAAGCGATGCGTGAGAAAGGAGAAGAAGGCGGGCACATAGAACATGAGGATCACGCAGAGGTGGGAGCCGCAGGTGCTGAGGGTTTTGAGGCGAGCCTCCCGGGATGGGAGGCGAAACACTGCCCTGAGGATCAGCACGTAGGAGACGGCGATGAGCACGACGTCCAGGCCCGAGGAGAGCAGCGCCGTGGTCAGCCCGTACCAGACGTTGGCCCTGATGTCGGCGCAGGCCAGGCGGGCGATGCCCATGTGCTCGCAGTAGGTGTGGGGCATCACGTTGTGCCCGCAGTAGGGCAGCCGCTTCAGGAGGAAGATGGGTGGGAACATGATGCAGAAGCCGCGGGCCACGGCGGTGACGGCGATCTTGCCGATGACCGAGGGGGTCAGGATGGACGCGTAGCGCAGCGGGTCGCACACGGCCACGTAGCGGTCAAAGGCCATGGCCAGCAGCACAGAGGATTCCACGATGAAGCTGAAATGGGTGAAGAACATCTGTGTGATGCAGGCATCGAAGGAAATCTCCCTGGCACCGAACCAGAAGATTGCCAGCATTTTGGGCACGGTGGTGGTGGACAGCATGAGGTCAGAGAGAGCCAGCATGGCGAGGAAGAGGTACGTGGGCTCGTGGAGGCTCCGCTCCGTGGTGATGACAAACAGAAGGACCAGGTTGCTGAGCACTGCGGTGAGGTACATCAGGCAGAAGGGGACGGAGATCCAGATGTGGGACTCCTCCATGCCCGGGATGCCTGTCAGGACAAAGGTGATGGGGTCGAAGCTGCTCTCGTTGAGCTCATACATGGTGTTCCCGTGCTCGGGGTCAGCCTGACTCAGCTCTGTGCCAGAAAGAGAAGGGATCAATGACACCTGTGGATTTGCCCGTGACACTCTGGCAGACGTTGCAAATCAGGACACAAGTTACAAGGCAGCTGCCTTCCACCCTAAGGGGTTCCCTCGCTGTGTTCTGTACAAAGGACCCTGTTTGTTCTGTCACTCCTACAAAGCGTGTCTTTGGAAAACATCTCTGTCCTCCCACTGCCACTGCTAAACAGGTCAGGCCTTTTTCCAGCTCTGCTTTATCCACTGCCACAAAAACCTTGTAAAAGTCATAGAAATAGTCATAAAAGTCACCCTCAGCCCTGTCACAGTCAGTGGCTCCATCTGTGAGCACACACAGAGCTGCACCTGTGGTGGGACTCCAGGTTCCTCCAGGGAGGTGAGATGACGCAATTTCTCACCCTGCTCAGGCCAATGAACAAAGTTCCTTGTAAAATCCCAAATATAGGAATAAATCTTTCCCTGGTATCAATGTTGGGCAGTGTCTGGGATGTGACTGACATCCAACTGCACTGAGGGCTGTGGCCACACATCAAATTTCTCACTTGGAACTCTTTAGGCACTGGAAGGGGTTCCAAGGTCCCCTTGGAGCCTTCTCTTCTCCAGCCTGAACAACCCCAGCTCTCCCAGCTGGGAGGGAGCCCTTTCTTTTCCTGCCTTTTGCTTCATTCCTTTCCCACTCCTTCATTAAGAGGGGCAAAGACATGGTGGTATGCACAGAGTGATCCTTGGACAAAGAAATTATGGCCCAAAGCAGAAATACCCCAGAGGGACACCCCAAATGCAGAGTTCTGCACTGATGCTCAGCCCTAGCACCGTTCCAGTTTTCCCAGCTCCTGGAGTGCTGGGGCAGCCTGAGCTGGGAGCACCATCCCCCATGACTGACCAGCCTGAGGGGAGCTTTGAAGATTGGAATAATGCAAACAAGCCAAGCTGCAAGTCCTCCACAAAAGCTTTGCCATGAGCAGGGCTTTGAGGAGAAGGAGCACCACAGGACTGCTGGGTTTATGTGCTTCCCCCATCTTACCCCCAGCTCCCATTCCCTGTGTAAACTCCATCATACATTAGAAAAACTCCAGGCCAGGGTTGGGGGAGAGGAAAACCAGTTGGATTCAGAACAAAGATAAAGCTTCCCTGCTCGCAGCCTGATTTACTTTCATTGCAAGCAGCAGGTACCCAAGCCAGACATGTTTGCATTTCTAAATGCTTCCATTAAAGACTCTCAGCCTCCCTGAACCAAAAGTCTACTGAAAACATGGCTCAGTGCAGCAAAGACCTTCAGCTCACTGCAAATATTTGTCCAGTCGCCTCTTCCACTTGCACACCCACATTACCCAGGTGAATCAAGCCAGTGTGGGTCTAGAGCAGGGGATTAAATCTGCCTGGGAGCATTCCCAGGCTCCAACACCAGCTGGTGTTACTGTGTGTGGGCTACAAAGCAGCTCAGCAAGACTTTCCACCTCCACTTCCCAGATATATGGAAATCTATTCCTCTCACACACCACTTTGCTTCCCTTCAGTCTTTTCCAAGAGAATCGGTGCCCCAAGCCCCAGCATTTCACATTAAATGACTCACCAAGGGCCAGCCCCGAGCTGGGAAGAGAAGCACAGCCCCGAGTGGAGCAGAGCTCGGGGGAGCCCAAAGCTGATGATATCGGTCCTCTCTGTCCCACACCTCAGAAGAAGCATCAGTCCCTGGACCTGGGGAGGTTTAAATTGCCGGTGCATTAACCATTAACAGCATTTAACACTCCCGGGTGAGGCATTTCCTGCTTTTCCATCATTTGCATTGCAAGTGATTTTCCTCTCTCCTTGCCCACCGGCCACCGGGCCGGGCTGGAGAAGACCTGAGCAGGAAATGGGCACAGCCTGAGCGCTCCTGGGATCCAGAGCATCGTGGATGTCTGCAGGTGAAAACTGTCCCGTTCCGCTGCTGAAACCTCCCTGAACAGGGAGAACTCCCTTCCCCTCAAGCTGCCAGGGCCCCTCTGCCACCCAACCCCAGCCCTTGGGCAGTGACCTATCATCGTGATTGTAATTATCCTGAAGATCATTGATCAAATCAACAATCTACAGGATCATGATTGGGCAGGAATTGTTCCCTGGCAGGGTGGGCAGGGGCTGGGATGGAATTGCCAGAGCAGCTGGGGCTGCCCCTGGATCCCTGGCAGTGCCCAAGGCCAGGCTGGACATTGGGAGCTCCTGGGACAGTGGGAGGTGTCCCTGCCATGGCAGGGCTGGGATGGGTGGGCTCTGAGGTCACTTCCAACCAAAAATACGCTGGATTCCAAAATTCTGTAATTTTATGACCTTTAAGACCGTCAAGTGCAAAAAATATTGTCAGAAAAGTCAATATTGAGCAGTGCCCTGCCCCACCCAGTGACACTGATCTCAGTCCCAACCTCCCCCTTCCCACCCCACCTTTACCCCGGGACACATCTCCCTCCCTCCCCAAAGACACGGCTCCGGGGGTAACAAGGAAGCGGGAGTGGCAGAAGGATCCTGCATCCAGGAAATGCAACAACGCTCTGACAGGAACCATCACTCCTGCAGCATCTGTGGAAATGTCCAACAGGAGCCAGGCAATTACAAATATTGGTGCTGTCTCTCCTCTGCTGCCTCATGCATCTCAAAATGTGGCATTTGGACTGGATTCCCCTTCCTTTGGCTCCAGGAAGGGATCTGGATGATGCTGTGAGCTCTCCAGGGCAGGAGCTGGGCTCCCTCCAGGGTGGGCTGCAGCTCCTCCTGCAGCAGAGCCGTGCCCATCCCTGCTGCCAGCACTGAGCCGCTGGCCTGGCAGGGCAGGAGCTGCACAGGAAATTTCTCAGTTGAAGGTTGGACTCAAGGGCTTGGGAGGTTTTCTCCAAGCGATTCTGTCATTCTGTGGAGCAGAGGATGCGCTGCTGCTGTGCCTCAAACACAGCCCTTGCACGGGGAGCTCCAGGTTTCCCTCCAGCTTGGGCTGGTTTCCAGCTGCCCCCCTGTCCCCCTTGCCATGGACACCCCAGAGTGGTCCCAGAGACAGCCCTGCCCCACCCTGAGCCACATCCCACCCCACACCAGCACCTGGGAGCCTCCAGGGGCAGCAGCAGGAACCTGGATCCAGCATGGCAGGGGCTGAGCAGAGCCCAGCAGCAAGGATGGAGCCCAGGAGTAGGGGGTGGCACTGGGAACAGTGAGATGTGGGGGATGTCCCTGCTGTCCCCAGAGCTGGGGCACACACAGGGCTGGCATGAGGAAGAGAAGCACGGAGCCCATTGGGAAGCTGCAGCCTGTGCAGCAGAGATGGGACAAGGACAGCAGCACTCGCATGGGAGACATTGGGAGAGGGACTCCAGAGGTCCCCGTGAGGCAAGAAATGGTCCTGCAGCCAGGCAGATCCACAGGGCTCCTGGTGTCACCCAGGGACTGGGGGACCGTCACCCGGGGCTCCTGGTGTCACCCAGGGACTGGGGGACTGTCACCCGGGGCTCCTGGAGGCCCCACCGGTGTGAGCTGAGCTGGACTCAGGGGCTGGGCTCAGGGCTGGGCTGGGCTCAGGGCTCAGGGCTGGGCTCAGGGCTGAGCTGGGCTCAGGGCTCAGGGCTGGGCTCAGGGCTGGGCTGGACATGCCCCTCTGCAGAGCTCAGCCAGGCCAGGCAAACCCTGCACTGCTGCTCTGCACCGATGGATCCCTGGGTTTGGGGTTCCTTTCCCCCCATGCTGAGCCAAGCCTAAGGATGTGCAGCTACCCTGGGTGGGTGACACCCCCTGTTCCCAGCTCCCAGTTTAAACTCCTGCAATCCCCCCACTTCACATCGTTTCTGTTGCAGAATGTGGCCCCAGGGGATTCCCAGCACAAAAGGAGGAGAAAGCTGAGGGCAGGTGGAACAAAGAGTTGATTGAGGCTGAAACTCCACCTGGGACTCCACAAACCTGCAGGAATTTCCCCTCCTGCTGCCTTCGTGAATTCTGTGCAATTCTAGCTCTTGGGGGATCCCTGGTGTTGGTGGGGATGACAGAGATGGGCTGTGGCTGCCGGTAAAACAATGAATTTACTGAAAAACTAAATAATTGCATAACTAAGCAATTAAATAATGAATTTCCAGAATAACTAAATAATTAAATAATTAGGTCATGGCGTAATTAAATAATTAATTTACTGAATTACTAAATAAATAACGGGTCAATAACTAAATAGCTAAATAAATAAATAACTAGATAATTAAGTGCCTCTTGCAGAAGCAGCAGGCAATTAATTATCTTGCTAATTAATGGTTTCAATGAACTACCCTCTCTTCCCTGAGCTGCAGGGCAAGGGCTACGGGAACGGCACAGGACCCCCAAAACTGATGCACAGGGTGGGCAGAGATTCCCCTGAGCAATGGCTGCACCCCAGGACCCCTGAGGGTGCCAAAGACCTTCGAGGTCATCAATCCAACCTTTGGTCACACCCCACGGAGTCCAGCTGCTCCCCCAGCACTGCAGGGCCACCACGGACCGTGTCCCCAAGGGTCACACACATGAAGGTGTGGATGTGTGGTGACAG